CCAACACCAGCAAGTTATATTTTTTAAAATTAAATCTGATAGCAATTAAAGCTAGCCATACGTCTCATACTTTCCCAAATCTTTCATATTAATGTTAGCCTACAAGCCATTTAATGCCTCTGGCAGTCAGAGATGAGGAGAATTCAAGAATGCACGGTAAAATATTGGCTCTATTTATTAATTCAGTATAAATTTTGCCTTGGCTAGCATATCGGTTTTCATGAAAATCTAGCCATATCTGTGCATTTCAACATGGGGAGAAATTTAAGTAGCCTTAAAATCATGCTGCAAAGGCATTTACATAATACACTTGTGGCAGCACACCTATGGCTAAGTCATAAGCAACTGAGTGAAGCAGGCGAGCAAAGGCTTTCCCTCCACTCTGTTTCCACTGCGGCACGTCAGCAAGGAAGCAGAGGCAGTTTGGAGCAGGATTCAATCGCCCTGCAAGCTTTCATTCTGGCAGTCTCTGACAGGAGAGCTGCTCCCAGAAATCTTTCCTTCATCACTCGCCTAAATTTCCCCTTCTCTTCATCTCATAACCATGAACCCAGATCTTTGGCCACCATTTTATCTTATTACATTTTTTAAACAGGCTGTAAAAATAGAAATCTCTGATTTCTATTCTCCCTCCTCATTCTGAAATCTGGTTTAAAAGGCTAAAATCTTTAGCCATTTCAGCTTAGTTTGTCCTTCTTCCCCTACAGATGTTTCTGATGTCCCCCTATCAGCACAGCCAGCTACTCATCTTTTTCTTTGTTATTACTGTTTCTTTATTTCTCTCCACCTTTTTATCCTTGTCATTATTAAGCATTCTTAGAAATGACTATGTTAGAACTGGCAAGCTGATTAAAATGCAGCAGTAGTAAATAAAGGGAAGACAACTATATGAAAGCAGTACAAGCAAAGATAGCATCTCCTGGTGTTCAATATGATTGAAAATCATCTTAGAACTTCACATTGCTTGCAGTGGTCTCACTTCACTGGAAGGAAATACCTATGGACTAGGAAGCTATCACATCAACATCATATTCTATCAAAGTATTTCTAACAGTATTCAGTACATTAATATCAACAGCATGCAGATTCAGAGGTCAAAATAATTCATAAAGAATCACAGAATATACTACCAAAAATGCAGTTTGGAAGAAATACCCAACACTTAGAACAAATTTAGTATCTTTATTTTGTATTATTACAAAGCAGAGAAGAAAACACTAAACCCATGAATATTTCAAAGGCCATGCGAACTTACAATCTGGTTAAGTAACTGTCATGGTTGTTTTTTTTTAAATTTAAACTAACATGTATTCAGTTTTACAAGCCTGGAATACTGAAAAAACTCTACCACCTCATGCAGCATGAGCTCCTATATGTGCTCAAGAAGAAACTAACATAAGCCCTGCTCATTTTTTCTTTCTACAATTTACAATATTCAAATTCAAGAACTGCTTCTGACTTTCATTATATTTAAACAAATCTTACAGAGTTTTACTTGGTGGCCAAACTTGGCCTATAAATGTGATTTTCCCGCTGACAATACGTGAATCAAAAACACAAAGTCTGCTTTACACATTCGTGTGCTAGTTTTTAAGGACAAACAGAAAAGCATTTTTAAATTCGTCATCTGAGCAAGCTTGATACCGGGTTGAGAGGAAAAAAATCTGTAACAATTTTACGATGTTTTTCACAGTAAAACAACATTTAAAGCATAATGATGTCATCTTGGCTCCACTAAAGTCAGCAACGAAACTGCCATCAACTACTGTGAAGCCAGGACTGCAAACTTAAATCTTCCTAAATATATCAGATAAGTGAATGCCAGATCTCACAGACTTGCTTTACTTGCAAAAGTGCAAGTTGTCTTGCTCAGTCTCAAAACTCTATTTGATGGGCTTGCACAGAGTTCATGCAGACTTTTGCAACACAAAGTATTTAAAGCCTTTGTTCAAGATAGTAGCTTTAAGATAACTTTGACGTGACATTGACAAGACTATAAACCTTAAGGGAGGAGCAGAATCATGCACATGTTACAAATAATAAGTAGTTATTTCAATTATTCTTATAATATAAAAATAGGGTTCCTATATGGCTAATGGAGAGTGGAAGAAAAAGAAGCATGTGCACACATAACTTTTATGACAAAGGAAAAAGGCTTAAGAAGACAGATCAGACTGGTAAGGTACAACATTAATTTCAAAGTCACTTGAATCTAAATTAATTAAAACAAATGTTTTAAACAAAAAATTGCAAGTATTATAGCCATGCTTTTGATTTATCATAATTTAAAGTCTGGTAAATGCCTTTCAAAACTGGTTTAAGAGGCATGGTCTGTGTTCAGAAGAATATACAGGTTAAAATGTGGCATAACAAAAGCATGTATAAGCATATGAAGAAAGCAGCTGGAAGGACATGTTGACATCCCTAGTAAAGTCTGCTGACAATTTAAAAACAATGTAAAATTAACACAAGTAGATCAAAATTTAGTCTGATAAAACATGTCCCATCATGAACCCTATCCTGCTTTTGACAGTGATTTGATGCCAAGTTTATATTTAAAAAAAAAAAAAAAGTCAGTGATTCCATACTAGTGCCTGACTTTCCAGTAGTCCATGACTTTGCAACTTCCCGATATTCACAGATGATGCATTTCTGTTTACTAGTCCTCAATGAATTCTTTCACTCATTTGTAAATCCAGGTTTACTTTTACTTCACCAAAACACAGCAGACACAAAAATAAGCTATGTTGGGGTTTTGCTTGAACGCATTAATAAACAGTCTTAGCAGACAGACTACATGAAGTTGCACCTCTACCCTAAAGGTGCATTTTTATTAGGTCCCCATTAAGTAACTTGCACAGCATCCCCAATAGGCCCCTCATGGACTAGAGCAGTTTCAGCTCATTACATGTCACAACATGCAGGCAGGCATGTTTATGCGGGGAGGGTGAGAGGAAAACTGGTCTACCCACCAAGGAACAACAGGTAAGAAAATCTTTTTGTTTTTCTTCTTTTAATCTAAGAGTGAGACTAATAGCAGAAAGACAGGACTCTGATTAGAAACTACCTGTATTATAAGCAGCATAGAAAACAGTTTGGTGTAATCATTCAAAAAAATTACTTCAATACCTATCATTCCCATCAAGAAAAACTGTAAAGTGAAGGAAAGTAAGTAATTATTTTTTCCATCCACATGCAAGTTTTTATTTAAAGAAACAATTTACAGCTTGCACTAGTTAAAAAATTGGATTTAACAAGCAATGTTATTTAGCACCCATTAATGCGGTGTATCATATTTTACTGTAGATTTCCTGAGAGAATGGGGATAGTTGAACTTTATCACACACCATAATTAGTAAAGGTGTATTTGGAACATCACGTGCATTAAATAGCATGGTAAAGCATGTTTTTAGAGACATTAACACACACAATTTTTAAATTACCATTTTTTTTCTCTCCACTTTTTGGAGCCCTTTTCTTTCTTTATTCAGACAGTATGTCCATTTCTATTACTTTTGAACATATTAACATTCTTTAAACCATAAAACAAGCAAAACAGTCAGCATCAGGCACAAGTCGTCACACATCCCCCTGCTGTTCACCACAACATGTTCTTGAGACTTCTGAAATGTCAGAAAGTATTTGGCCAAGTAATAATTGAGAAAAAACAGAAAAAAAAAAAAAAAAAAAAAAAAAGGCGTGTTTTGGAAGGACACAAAAGGTTGCGTGACAAAGAATGCAAGGATCCAGAGTGGAAAATCAGCCCAGAGTAGATCCTGACGTATCTTCCAAAATTCAGCTTTAGCATACCAAACATCTTCAACTGCACTCATTTCCATGAGGGAACAGGAAGAAAACAAAGGTATGTACAGGTAGTGTTCGGTGAGATGATAGTCAAATCTCTTAAACACAGGAATAGGGAAACAAAAAGGCTAATAAAACCAAACACAATCCTCCCTCTCCATGGTAATAAACAAACAAATGAACAAACACACACACCCAATTCTAAAAATTAATCTTTACATCTAAGAAAAATTTTACATGGACTTGGGGGGGTGGGAAATCACTGCACTGTACAGTCTGTTTAAAATAAGAATCAACTACAGTTCCTTATATAAATATTTTCTGGATTCTTCACTTGCAATCTTCCTCTTCATTTTCAAAATCCTGCTGTTACTTCCTGTGCATAAAACTGTGTGATCTAGAATAAGAAGCATGGGGATGGAAAGCAGGGAACTTTGTATTGTAACCTCAGCCAAATCACCTATTTATCAAATACCCTCCAGCAAAAATACTAAACTTTAGTTGTCCCTAGAACAGTGGAAAATTATATTGTCAGAGAGAATTTACGCATAACAGCAAGATGAGATCTAAACTTTGCATATGGCCTAATATTGTGACGAAGAAGGTGAAAACTATGGAAAGCTATATTATCTGCATTCCCACTGTCTGCAGTCAGTGATAGGAACTGGACTCTGATGTGGAAGGCAAGGGAAGGAAGAGAAGTTGAAGCAGTATTTTTATTCTCCTAATTTGTTAAAGAAGTGTCAAAACTAAATAGTCTGTGTTCAAAAAATAACTCCACTGATAACTGTAACTCACAGAGGGGATAGTCTAGACTGCTGCAAGTATTAAGGCATGTATGATATAATCTTTTTTTTTTTTTCCTCTTCCTTTTTCAAGTTAACATTGTAGGAACCATGCTCTGAGGTGAATCCAAATTCTTCAGATGCACATATAATGTCTGCTTGGAGTTGTTCTTTGCTGTGGGTTGGGAATGGAAATGAAGAAGGTGGTGGCAGGACTTTTAAGAATTAATTTATTTTACCTGTGGTGTTTCATATATCTAAATTAACTTCAGAGACAAAAAGTTATGTTTAAAGTCTTATATTAAGCATCTGTTGAGAACATAATTAACTTATTTGATTTCTTGAAATAGAGACCACAGACTTAACAACTAAGATCTGGAGGAAACATGCAGTCCTCCTTGGCTTGCGTACCTGTGTCACTTCCAGATCCAGCTGATAACGCTGGCATGATTTAGTCTGCAGAGTATCACGCAGGACTGTCAGACTAGCGCTCTGCAGCCAGAAGGCAGCAGTTAATTTCAGTTTAACTGCTTGCAGCCAAGTTGTCTACGAAGATTTATTCTATCTCCCAGTTTCTCCTAGAAAGAACAGAAACAAAATTTTACAATTAAGAACATTGTTAAACTGTACATTACTGCAGCTAACCAAATCCAATCACTATCACAAAAATTAGCTTTTGATCTAAGACTCTCAAACAAAGTGCTTTGCATTTATTTATGACTGCTACTTTTTTTTTTTCACCCAGGTGAAACCACTTTTGTTTTCTCCAGTTTAGCCTATAATCCCATTCTGCTGTAAAAATAATTTAACACATTTCTCTCATGTAAATTATACTCTCTAACTCTAGCGTGTCAGGTATTTTGGAAATAAAGTCTAAGGTTCTTTTCTTAAAACAGTGAATAATTTCAGTCACTCAAATTTTGCTATTACTTATTTCAGAAAAAAATTTGCTTACTAGCATGGTAATTTATTCAGTGTTTCTACTTAACCTCCTTTGAATTGTTTTCAGTTCATTTAAGATCTGGCATGCAATTTTTATTTTTAATCTGGAAATATAATCTAAATTTTAACTTAAATTGTAAAGGCAGGACTGGGGCAGACTCTTCTCTAAGGTAAACAACAGTTTGATTTGTGGAGTTGGAGCCATTATCATGCAGACCATGTAAGGAATTTTTCTGTAATTCATTACTACGAAGTCAGTATTTTTTTAAGACATTTTTTAATAATTGCACAGGCCTAATGATACTAAATTTTGAGTCTTTCTTTTAACCAGTTCTTGGGGAAAATTCAGAGCAAATGTAACAAAAGCAAAACCAATTTCAAATATAAGGGAACGTATTTAAATTCAAGTGTGTTAAAATATGAAGCTGGAAAACAAACTTGTAAAAAGAAATTCAGAGTTAAGACTGGAAATGTTTACTACTAGAAGAGCAGGCGCTGATGTGGTTGCAAGAAGGAAAGGAAAGAGGGAAGCAGAAGCTAACAGAAAACAAGGGTTTTCTGCAGATTTCAGTAAACCAAAAGGATCCTTGAAGAAAGAAAGCAGTATAGTCTGCTTTAGCATAATAAAATAAACGAAGAGCATTTTGCTGCTGCTGTTGCTGATTTGGTTTTTGTTGGGTTTTTTTGGTTTTTTTTTTTGTTTGTTTTTGGTTTTGGTTGTTTTTCTTTTTTTTCGAACACATTCATATTAATCAGAATTACTTTTTAAGTAATCTTGGCTCTGAAAGTGCATATTCTGGACACATTTGTATTTGGCAACGGTCCTGTGGAAGAGTAATATACAGGTGCTGTAAACACTGTATGCTGTTCAAAATTTTGTTTTTCACCAAAACAGAAACATCCTCACATTGCTAAAACTATCGTAACGTATTAACAGCCATACACAAGACTTTGTTTAGTAAGTTTTAAATCAATCAGATATTAGTGAGCTGTTAACTTATCCTTAGACATAAACCTACCGTTTAGTCAGGCAACTTTAAGATTTTTTTTTTTTTATCCCCTAAGCAATTACCCGAAGAAAGATTTTTTCATATCAGCTTTCAAACTCCAGTGAATCTACTTTGGTGGTTTTTTGGTTTGTTTTTTTTTTTTTTTTTTTTTTTTGTTTGTTTTTTTTTTTTTTTTAAGACAGCAAACACATCAGAAATAACAGTTCTGAATAACTTCTTCTATGACAAAAAAGGACCAAATAAAACTATAAAGCTATCTATTAAAATGTTTTTAGGGTTTTGGGGTTTTTTTAAGTTATAAAAGTTTGTGATGAAGAAAAAAAGTAAGTTTTGACTGAAAAAAGCATCAGCTTTCAAAATTCATCAAATCAGCACCAAGTCCATTAACTTAAAATTTAAAACAGAGATAAGATAAATATTTCAGAATGAAAGTTCATCTTATGATGACAAAGTTGTAAAACATCTATATGCAAAGCTAGTCAGGGTACAGTTTAAAAGAAAAAAAAAAAAAAGAAAAAAAATCATAGCCTAGAACACGCTGTACCAATTAAGGAGGAACATATTCACTTGCGTTAATTCTGCTTGTTTTCTTTTTAACACATAGAAGCACCATAAAGGATAAGTCATGTTCTAAGCTCTCTCACAATCTCGTGTGAGCACACCCCTACAGCCATATGAAGGATGGAGGCATTTTCAGTTTTCACACGTGTAAGAAATGTGTTAAAACAAAATGATTTACTGTTATTGGCACATCTTTGATTTATATGTGGCTTAAAGTACTTTCATCTATTTAGGTGGGGAAAAAAAAAAAAACAAAAACAAAAACAAAACCACGCAAACATGCAAGGCATTCTCATTATAGGTACATTATTATTAAGCAGAATTTTAAGGTTCCTTAAAAAAGTTCACTGCAAAATGTGGAAAGTCTTGTTGATCTACATACATGTCCTGTATTTAAACTCAATCGGCTCCTTTATTTTTCTTTATTTCACAGTAAATCATTCAATACAAAAAAAAAAAAAATTCAAGCTCCTTATTATTTAAGAAACTTATATATGGCATAAAGTTATTCCCCCCAGATCCTAAATATATATTAATGAAAAATAAATGACCTGATGAAATCCTTACCAGTAAAATGCTTAATATTTTGCTGGAATGGAACGGGGATTTTATATTTTTTTTTAACTTGCAAATTAAGCTACATTTTTGCAGTGATGATGTTATTTTCTTTGGCTCGCTTTATTGAAAATGCTTTGGAAGTTTTTGCCGGAGCCCTGCCATAGGCATTGCTGACTGCTGTATGGAATCGATTTGCTGCAACACAGAAATACCAGCTGTTACAGTATGTCCTGAGAGGGATTACCGAATATTCTTAAATTGAAGTTCAATCCATCTTTCCATAAAAATTAGAAGCCAACGCCAGGAACGTAACAGCAGTATCAAGTGCACCTGAGGCATTTACAATACCCAGCAGGACTGTTACAACCAGCCTTTAAAAAGGGCTTATTTTTGAAATTTCATTATTCCAGTTGTACCTTGCTTCTATATCTCACACCGGATCGGGTTTTGCTGGCACCCGCCATGTGGAAACAGCGGCGGCGCGCGGCCAGCCCCGCCCCGCGCCCCGCGCGGCTCCCGCGCCGCGACTGCCCCCTAGCGGCGGCGGGGGGCGCCGCGCCCGCCTGGGCCCCGCAGCGCCCGGCCCCCGCCGCCATGATGCGCACGGCGCGCAGGCGCGGCCGGGCAGCGCCTCCACAGCGGCGGACCTGCTCTAATTACCGCTGCTTTTCATTATTTACGTGCCTGAAATGAATTATTCATTAAAATAAAATAACGAGTTGCAGAGTTTTAATTATGTCTGCCTGTCTTAATTTGCATAATGAAAGAGGTTTCTATTTCTAGGGCTTTTCAGTTGAACGACATATATTAAAAACCAGACCAAAACTAGGTGTCTGTAGAAGGCACAGAGATGTTTCCCTACCTGTGAGCACCTCCTGCACACTCAACAAGCTCATTCACCAAGCCAGATGCAGTTCTAGTTAGCTTTCCTGCCAAGTTCATTAAGGTGACATAATTTACCAGGGTGCCAAATCCCCCTGTTATAAATAGCCAGGAGCAGGGCAGAAGCCTCCTGGGAACAACCTCCAAAACTGCAAAATCCTAGAATAACAGCTGTCCAAGGGAACTGCTTTTCTGTATAGCCTACAAATAAGAGAGGCCCCTTACCAAGACTTGAGGGGATAAACCTTGTTCCCAATCACCCTTGTTATCAATACGGGAGGACTAGCACTGATGGACAGAGGCAGTCAGATAAAACAAGAGAGTAGGAGGCAGTTGATGAGTGCCAAGATGAACAGCCTTCCACCTCATCTTCACATTAGTAGCTTCTTTCTAGCATCCTCTATTGCTTATGAATGGAAGCGACTCCATTACTCAAGCATACATTTTATTTCAGTCAGGTTCATTTTTCTACAAAAGATGAGGTAGGAAAACTGATTCAAATTTTTCTTTATGGCAAGCATCACCTATTTGGAGACAGCACACATGAATTCTTAGTTCTACCTTTGACTCCCTGTACAAACCTCAATAAACTGCATAATATTTATTTCTGAAAGCTTATTTTACAAGTTACTTAATATTTTTGGCACTTGAATGAATATAAATTGATTTTATTCACATTTTAAAAGCAGGCTGAAGACTTTTGCCTGATTTAAAACAGGTAAAAACGTAAAAAGTATGAACCTAGTGATGTTACAAACCAGGGAGGGGGGAGAACATAAAACCAGGTTGTTTGATACAAGAAACATTCAACCTGTTTTTCTAAAGGATGCCACAGTTACAAAGACTATAACTTTGATTTCCAGAACTAAATCAGCATGCCTGCAAATGGTATTTGAACTACCAGATAGAGATTTCATGTGGAGACAGGAAATTTGACAGCCGTTCAGTCCTGTATTCATCATGGGGCCTCAAGTAATTGAATGACTAGGGACATGTGTACAAGTCTCCAAAACCTAGTCAGCACAGGAAATTGCCAAAGGAGGTTTTCTAGACTGGGAGAAGTAAATCTGTTTTGGTAGACAAAAATCTGAATTGAAAATGGTGGTCTACTCTCTTGGAAGTTGTAATGCAATGAGATCTACTGAATCCTTAAAACTCTTCTGAGGAAGTTTCCACCTCCTCAATCACAGGGTCTCTGACAGGCTACTGGAATCTGCTTGCGGCTCCTGACGGGCTTCCAAGGCTAGTCAGCTGCCTTTACAGGCAGTACATGCACATTGTCATCAGGAACCTTCAAGAAATCCTGAACTGGAATTACTGTATAAAGGATACAGTGCACAAACATGATGGGACTTCAAAGGCACTGCAGAAACAAGATGCCACCTCTGACTTGCTCATCTGTAGGTATAATGGAAATGAAGAGTGGCAAAAATTCTGGATACAGAATCCTTTTTTTTTTTTAAAAAAAAAAGGCAGTATTTATGGCAACTACCAAATGTCATTAACTAATGCACCAACATAGATGTTATCTGTGTTGTCCCAAATTGAAGAGGACAACAGCTGCCTTCACTATCTCCTGGTCTTCCCATCATGCCAGTGTTCAGCCATCAGAAGAATTCAAGCCG